TAAGGTAGGAGTGCATCAAGGATCAGTGTTATCACCGTTTCTGTTTGCAATTGTGATGGATGTTGTGTGTGGAAACATAATGGAGGGGTTGTTATTTGAGATTTTGTATGCAGATGATTTAGTCTTGATGGCTGATAGCATGGAAGAATTGCAGTTAAAATTTGACAGATGGAAAAGTGTTATTGAAAAGAAAGGGTTAAAAGTTAATATTGGTAAGACGAAGGTAATGGTGAGTGGGGAAGGTGGGGAGCGAGTGATAAGTAAAATAGACCCCTGTGGGGTATGGGATAGGAGAGTGAAGGCTAACTCGGTATTGTGTATAGGATGTCAGAAATGGGTGCATAAGAGATGTAGTGGTGTGAGGGGGGCACTGAAAAAGGTGGAAGGCACGTTCAAATGTAAGAAATGTGTTCATGGTGTGATTAATAGGACGGACGCAAGGACGGGGTTGAGTGGTGGTATTGAAAGAGTGGAAAGCTTTGTTTACTTAGGTGATAAGCTGAATGCGGATGGAGGATGTTTGAGCGCAGTTACGGCTAGAGTTCGTGTGGGATGGATGAAATTTAGGGAACTGGGTGGGGTATTGTGTGGAAAGAAATGGTCAGTGAAGATGAAAGGGAGGGTATATAAAGCATGTGTGAGAGCAGCGATGGTATATGGTGGTGAAACTTGGGTGTTGAGGAGAGAGGAGGAAAGTGTACTGCAGAGGGCTGAAAGAGCTATGGTGAGGATGATGTGTGGGGTTAAAGTGAAGGATAGGAGGAGTAGTACAGAGCTGATGTCAATGATGGGACTGAATGAGGACATTGTGACATTGATAAGGAGATCGAGATTGCGGTGGTATGGACATGTGTTGAGAAGGGATGAAAGGGTCGGGATTAGGCGAGCGTTGGAGTTCGAGGTTGAAGGAGTGGTAGGAAGGGGTCGTCCGCGATTGGGATGGAGAGAGCAGGTGGAGAAGGACAGGGTGAAAGCGGGGTTGCGTGATACTGAGGCGAGTGACAGATGTGGATGGCGTCGAGGGGTATTTCGGTTTCATCATAGGTAGCCAAACGGCAACCCCCGATCTCGGGGAAAATGCCGTCTAAACGTGTGTTGTTGTTGAACAATCTTTTTAATAATGTCTATTTATTTATTCATTAAATGTTGACTGGTTTATAGTTTTTTTTTAAATTGGTTATATAATTTTTGGATATTTCTTGATTTACTTTGTATATATGCATGTATAAATATTTCTGTTTAGTATGTTGATTTAGTCATTATGATATGTTGTGAACTGTTCTTACTAAATGTTCATGTTACGTGGTTTATTATCCTTCGAGAACTTTTAAGGAGTGTGTATGATAATAATAATAATGGATAATAATTATTTTTATCGGTCGATATTTTGTTATATTTGTTTATTTAAAATACGAATTTTTAAAAAAATTGACATTTTAAAATTTTAATTAACCGTCACTTTTCATTTTTGAATGAATTCAAATAAAAGCAACTACTGTGTTTTTCTTTCTTTACTAAAATCTCGAAATTGTTTGTAGATCTGTACGGTTAACTGTTTGTTCGAGTTTGAACAGGCCTTGCAAATTTTTTTTTATTTATTTTTTTTATTTTTGTTTATTTGGTTCATTCAATTTAGTTGATTGATTGATCGGTTGATTGATCGGTTGGTTGATTGATTGACTGGCTGGCTGGCTGGCCGACCGACCGACCGACTGACTGATTGTTTGATTGATTTATCTCATAGTATTGTATACATGAGAAAAAATCCGATTAAGCCAACCTACGGCTTCAGTAAGCCACTGTTTTTCACCTGACAAAAGCAATTTCTATGTTTATACTGACAAAAATAATTGTGATATGAATATATTGATTTATTTAATGCATTATATGTACAAAAAAGTGCTATCGTAAGAGTTCTATGAAACCCTGTAAGCCACTGCTGTAAGCCAACGTATGATTTCAGCAGCCAGTTTCTTATGAGCACCAGCAGAGTGTAAAATATTCATTGAATATAATGAAGATAGTTGTTCAAATAACTATTTTGATTTATTTAGGCCATTTATTTCATAAGCAAACCAATTTTTAACATGATCGAATAGTGTAAAAAAAGGGTGACTATAGTTCAATCCTACTAAGCCAACCTTCGGCTTCAGTAAGCCACCGGATTTCATCGGACCAAAAGAAATTTTTATATTCAAATTAACAAAAACAATTTATTAATACATAATTCTATTAATCATTATTAAAATTAAATAGAATTACTACAATGTTTTAAGCATATTAAATCAAGTAAATATTTCATTTAGCTTGCTCGTTCAAATCCATGCAATTTCGTAAGCCAACAATCCAAGCACGACAAATAGCCCGACCGACCGATAGATCGAATTGATCGATTAGTCCTATTATTCTAGTTATGTGGTTTGGAGCAAGGGGAGACATTACTGAAAATAATTAAAAGTTGAAAAAATTGAGGTTCTTTGCATATCCCTGCTTCAACCCATAAGAAGGTGTTGTATGCTGGTAAATTGGCCTCCCCTTGATATAGAATATATCATATATATATATATATATATTATATCATATATAGAATATATATGTATTTTATATATATGATTTGATCATATATATAGAATGCAACATATATACTCTATTTATATGCATTGGATCTTTGCAATCATACATGTCTCCATATATCGATTTCCAGATCATTTCCATTCATTGATTTCACCTCTCCGATTTCAATGGTTGATTTGATGAAATAAAAAGGTCTCAAATATATCCATCTTCGTACATAATCTCTTCTTCTTTCTCGTGCCTCAACCTTTCAGAACATTGGCGACCATCGGACCCCACAAAACCAGATATTTAGCACTTTGTAGCAGTTGAAATCATGGATATAATATCATGGTTGAAATGTGGTAGTATTCAACAGGTGGCCCAAGGACTTCACGAATGTAATCCCTTATTGATATATAGAATTCAGAATATACTATAATATGAATTCCTACATATAGAATAAGTCAATCACAAAATTTATGGTATAATGTAAGATTCAATTTTATATTATTTTATAAAAATTGTATCTAGATAATTTTAATTAATACTAATCTATTAACGCTCATTAAACATTTGTCATTTGTTCAATTTTTGTTTATTCTTTTTCCTTCATTAACTCTTAACTCACTAAGTCAATAACTAGTCAAATAATCATTACTCTATTTATTCGTTTTATCAAATCATTGTTTAGTTTTCCATGCTTACAACAGTTAAACATTCGTACTCCTTATCATTCTTCACTCTGATCACATAACTCACCTACTAAGGCCTTAAATAGCCACATAAATAATTATTTTATTTATTCGCTTTTTAAATCCTTATTTCATTTGCCATTTTCTCAATCTATTCTTACTCCTTTAATTATTTTTCGTTATCCATTCTATTACTATCGCTTTGTATGTTGTAACAGTTTCTACGTCTGTCAGATTACTGATTTTTTAAGTATAATAAAAACATCGAAAATTCATTTAATTGATTAATTACAAATATAGGGTAATTGCTATAAACTTGAGTGAAAATCGCTTTTTGAACATTTTTTTGATAAACTAGATTTAAATTGTTTTGCTCACTCGCTTACTTTATTGGTAGCCTACTATTCAATTATAACAATATGATAACCGAAATATAATATATCAAAAACTGTTGTAGTGGCCTGCAACTGCCCGCCAGAGACACGCTTGAGGATGAGATTCTACTTGCCTTTCAACTAGATAACCACATTACTAATATGCACATATAAATAGTTATTTTACTATGACTATACTACCTGTTACATCTAAGTTGCCTGTCAATAGCTGAGAATCAATAAATAAATGTTTGTTGGTAGCAGCTTCATGTTGCGTCACGCTGACATCATAATTTAACATCAACTATTGTTTGTTAATTTCATGCAAGCCCCACAAAAAATTTTGACTAATTTCAGTAATTTTTACTCAATAAATTTTAATTAACTTTTCCTTAGCATTTGTTTCTATTCTTGGGATACAATTAGCTAGGAAAGTGCGACTGTGCCATGTCTCCAACTTTTATTAGACCTTTATTGCTATCAGCATTCATTAGACCTTGACCTTGATTGTTAACTTATGGACAAATGTATATAAGATTTTTGGAGTGGGTGTCACAGGCTTTGTGTCACAAAAATTTAAATTCAAACTAAGTAAGGAATAGTTTGTCAGCAGCTTTGCATCTATCATAGCAGCATATTGAAGAACAAAAAATATTGTTCATTAAAATGATTAGAAAAAGCCCTTAGCTAACTAGACAAAAAGTGAACGTATCTATTATAAACGTGTGAACGTGCTCAAATTTATTAGTTCTTTATTAGATCACACATTTAGAGTTGATCTTGGAAAAACTGTTGTTTATGAGGATAAAAATTTCTGGATCTAGGTCATCAAATTATAAACACAATAATTATGGCAAAGCTACATATATTGTTTAATTTAGATTTAATTAAATTTTAGTTATATTTTATATAGACAACACTTTTAATGAGACATTTCGTAGAGATTGGTCCAAGTTTAGTTCAGGAGCGTTTGATTTCACGTGGCAAACATGTGGCTGATATGGCACGTACGCAAAACCGGCAAGCATGGGACACTGGGATGGCGCTTTTATTTCAAATGTGAATCAAATTCAGCATTTAACACGAATGAAACATTTTTCGCGCCGGTGTTTGTGATTGATCGTTTGCGTTGTTATACGAGATAATTTATTGACTGTCATCAATTTATAATGTTAAGAGTCATACTCGCTACTATTAAAGTGCTATTAACTTAAAATTGTTAGTAATTGTTTTTAATAATTCAATTATTTTTCACAATTATTGAGAAACGTAATTTAAAACAATTCAACATCTCAACAACATAGAAAAAGATTAGTAGTCTTCACAAAAAACTTGTCCGAACAGACATGAAGGTTTGTTAAAAGTAGCAAAAAGATTATTAGGCAAAGTGAACTTCGTAAAACGACCATCCAGATGTATTTCTCAAGTCACTTTGCTCGTAGCCGTTCAGGTGATTGTTCAATTGGCAGATTTCTTCAACGACTTGAAAATTAAAAGAATCACATTCACCTGGTAGGCATTTCAGCAAGCACTCAAGTTTGTTGCTGGGTTTGATTTCGCCGAAATTGTATCCGACCAACTGATAGTTGGAGTGACGTTTCCATATTTTGGCTTTCACAAATTGGTGGTAGTATAAAATTTATTTATTTATTTTAAAGCTGGGTTAAGACAAAATATTTAATTTTAAACTGAAATTTAAGTTTGGACGTATCAGAAAAAAAATAATTCTTACAATTTAGATTTTTAGCAGAGTAAACTTCCATTTCACAGACTGTAAGATAACCGTCTCCATTGGTGGGTTGTTGGACGATGACGTAACGATATGATAATTTGATGTTGGCATTACATTTGAGGGTGTGTTTGGCACTGGCCACAATTGGGTATCTGTACTGGCCACAGAGGGGGTAAGTCCCTCGGAGGATTTTTGATCCAGGTTCAAAATAATTTTCCGAAGTCAGTCCAATCAAAAAATTTCCCATTCGACCAACTGGAAATACACTGTTGATTACTTTTAGCGAACCGATTCAGTTAAACTCATTTGTATGAAAAAACAAATAAACAATAAAAATTATTTGTCAAAAAATTGATAAATTGCTAGGCAAACAATAAAAAATAAATGAAACCCGAATTATTAAACTTGTTAACCCTTATCATTTCTTGCGAACAGTATGGCAGAGTCAACAAAATAGTAATCCGCGAGATCAAGCAGAGCCCAATTAGGACCAGCCGGACCATCACTTGACATGAAACAGTGTCCAGCAAAATATTCAGGATCTCTATCGCCATCTACCATCAAGTTTGGGCCACTGTATATTCCTTCACTTGCGTAAACCGAGCTGCTGGCTGTTGGCTTGTTGAGTGCCAAATTTTGAGCACACGCATATTTGAAAGATATCAAAAAAATTTCTTGAGGCAAAATTTAATAAATTATTTTTTCGCTTTAAAACTGTTTTTAACTTGTAAAAAAATTTCTTACCATTGAGATAAAATAAAATTCTTATGAAGCAGGTCTTATTGATCATTTTCAACTACCATCAATTAATCAAAATATTCCTTACAAAATTGTTTTGGATAGTCAAATCATAAGATTTGTCTACAAGTCTCGTTGATATTATCCAACATAAATAGAATAAAATGTGATATTGAAACACTACAAATATCACCCTCGCGCATGTATATGTATATGTGTGTGTGTCTGCGCGTGCGTGCGTGTGCGCCCGTGCGTTTGTACGGATTAGAGAAAAAACAGGTCAGAGAAATATAACAATAACCAAATAGTAAGACATTTAATTGAAAAAGAAAAATTTTTTGATATAATATTTCCGAAAGGTAGTAAGAAATAAGAGCGATAAAATAAATGGCATAATTATTTTTTGCTAGTCTAAAAAGAATTTTTTTCGTGGCGGTTTCTTTCAAACAAGTTTTGACCTGCTTGAATCAATGAAGGTCAACAATGAAAGCGTCGCATATTTGTTCGCAGGTGCGTTTGAATCAAAAAAGTTATCATGTCAAAAAATTAAAAAGATTGCAATTTAATATTTTTATAAAAAAAAATTTTTTACGAACCACACTGGATGAACCCGCGACAATGCTTTGCTGCGTGTCCTCTCGATGACCAATGTATGTATGGGCTAACTGATGAAGAACATTGTGAATACTTAACGTCATTTAATTAGTTATTACGATCTTCAACTTTGTGAATATGACACTTTTACGTGTCCTTATTATCGATGATTCCTGTTTCTAAAATTTTTAGTGGGAAGGATTCCAATTGTACGTTGCAAGTAACTGAGTTTTAATTTCATGCAACTTTTTTTTGTTAGATTACGTGTCATGCATAGAAGCAGCTTGTTCTTTTTGAAATTTAAGTTTTCAATAGCGGTGGTGCGACTTTTTCTAAACATTTATCTTCAAAACACCAGATTGAAAAGTGAAGTTTAGAACATGAATGAAACCGATTTTCAAAATTCCTTCCGAAAGTCAGATAAAAAATCAGTTCCGACCACTGCAAATATCACAAAACTTCGAAACCTCACTAAAAACTGTGCTATGAAGACTACTGTCACATTTTATTGCATATAAAATCAGGTTTAAAATGTATAACTGTTATACAAACAAACAAAAAATAGACGAGTTAAATATTTTTGAAAATGGCACTATATACTCAAAACAATTTCATTTAATCATATTTGGTCTGTACACAAAACAATAAACAGAGGGTTCAAGCAATAATAGCATAGAAAAAATTATTTCCTCTGAAGTTTTAAATAAACATCAGATGTCTGGGTGGCCCTTAATTTATCAAACAATTTCACAGTTGGGTCGTCGTCTGCAGCACCCATCAAGTCGTTTTTCTCGCGATTTTCAATACTTTGTAAGAGCGTCGCCGGCGAGGACGAGGAAGAAGTGGATGGTTTACATTGTGAAGATGCGTCAGGGTCTGAAGGATGATTCGCCTGTTGCTGCTGCTGTCTTTGTTGCCTTTCAAGAACTTTCTTCAACTGGAGAGTACACATCAATCAATTTAAATTTCTAAATCATCTTTAAGCAGAAAATGTGTCAAACGACCATTAATAAGAGTAATATTTGCAAGTAGAATATAATTCAATAAAATTTGTTCAAAGATTTTGGTAATACAAACTAACGATCAGTTGACATGAAACATTTTACCTTTGACTTATCATCCAAGTGTTTAATTTCCAACTCAGTGACCTTAGTTTGCAATTCAAGATTCTTCCTAGTTAAATGTTCTTTTTCTTCGAGCAGCTTGGAAACTGTGTTTCTGAGGTTTTGTAAGATGCGTTCCTCGCACGTTCCAACGTCTGCCGAAAGTTGCGGGCTTACAATTGGGACGTTGGATGACGGTGTTTGTGGATTTATAAGTTGGGTTTTGAGATTCAAAATTTCTTGCTTTTGTATAAAATATATTTTGTCTTTCTCCATTATTTTCTCCTGATTAATTGAAAAAATTTGACAATAACAGACCTCAGAAAGTATCAACAGTTTCGTTCAAATTATACCATATAAAATTTGACAAGCCATTTGCTAGTTTGACAAAATCGAAATCTTTATTAAATTACATAAATATTGCATTTAAATTAAAAAAACATTAGCTTAGTTAGCAGTGCACAATCTTTTGGCGATAATATGACGCCTAGCATTTATTACTAGTACCAATATCTTTACTAATTTACTGCAGAGCTATATTAACATGACTCGGCCTCAAAAGTTAGATCAAATAATTATTCATAATAACATTGAACCAGAACGATAAACTCGGTGTATAGTACACTAATTAACAAATGTCTATCGCAAACTAAAGAACTGACCTTTAATGCGGAGCATACCCTGCTGATTCTTTCATACTTTTCGTCTTTTCCTCTTTCCAAATCAAGAACTTTCCTCTTCAACGAGGCATTCGCCTCTCTCAGTTCTTCCATGTTGCGAGTTTCCAAGCATTTCTTCAGCTGAATTTGCGGTTAATTTGGTGGTTGAATCAATATAGTGAATAAATAAAAATCCTCGCCCAAGTTCGAACTTTTTCATATTACAACGTTTTTCATTTTTATTTACTTTTGTTTTGAAAAAGTAAGGTTTCTAATTTTCTAAAATTTACAAATAATGATGAAGCTGAAGCTTTCTCTTACATGAAAATGAACAGGATAGTATGTTTGTTACAAAGAACACTATGATGCCTGCTACAAAAGGCATAAAACGAAGTCTGTTTTAAATTTCCTCAAATCAAGAATGGTTGATGTTCCAAAAAACATCTTTTTTCTTCTGTAGCAAAACCAGAAATAAAATAAAATTAACTTCTATATTGTTTCTTTTTTCGAGCTAATAAATACTACAAATAACACGTATAGCAGAAGGTTTACCAAAATTCTTCAATTGCCTTGATTTTTAATGAGTAAAAGAAAAAATATCTTTCCATGAATCTTTGTCAAATTTCATCATGATCTTACTTACAATTATAATATAATAATGATTTAAGGCATCAGAACTGATGAGTGATGGTTGTTAATTAAAATTATTTGATCAAGTAGTACATGTCAACTTCAAATTCAGCACATACAATAACTGTGTCTAAGTCCAAAATGTCAGTGCGTGAACAAGATTTTAATTAAATCGGCAAAATGGAAAGAGCAACTGAACAAATTTCCCTTTTAAATTAACTACAGAGCTCAAAGATAAAAAAAACACAAAACGTTGTAAAGTCTATTAATTGTGCTACAATCAGTAAAATAATCAAAGCTGTCGGATTTGAAATTTCATGAGAATGACACAAACGATGAATGATTTTTATTTTGTAGTCGTTTATTACATTCAAACATTTTCATCAACTAGTCATGTTAAGTTGACAAAAATTTTAGTTTTTATCGTTCCAAATTTATTATATTCGTTAGATCGTACTAAGTCTCAAAAATCTTGGTATTATTTATCGTCTCAAATTAAAATGGCATAATTTCATCTAGTATTCATCATAAAATTCTTTAGTTTATTCGTATTTTAATTATTGTGAATCAATTTGGGGTTACAGTCCAATAACTCAGTACAGTGGATATTATCATATTATTAGAGGCAAATCGAAGGTAAAGGCAACTATTAGACAATTAATTTTATTATTAGATTCCTGTACATCTCCTAAATCATAAATAATTTTGCATTAGCTTTTTTAGACGCGTCACAACAACGTGGTCCGATTAACCGTTTTCCATTTTACATTCATTTACACTATGTATGAGAAGAAATAATTTTTTTACACTATAAAATTTCAAAAAAATTTAGCTAAAAATATTTCACCATAAAATTACCTCCAGAAGTTCATTGGCATATCGCTTTGAATCACTTTGGGCTTTTCCCAGTTGTAGCTTCAACTTCGCATTTTCTGAAATTTTCATTTCATGTGATGCATTTGCTAATTTAAAGACAATTTAACAAAAATAGATTCTATTTAGTGGTGACGATCAGGAAAAAATAGTTAAAATTAAACATACCATTATCTACGTATTTTTTCGCATTTTCACGTTCAGATTTATTTTTGAGAACGTAAGAGGCCAATTCTGTCTCTTTTGCCAAACATTCCTTTTTCAATGAAGTATTTCGAAGTTGTTCTTCATTTAACAACGATTTTAGTTGTAAAATTTCAATTTCCAGTGATTTTAACTCGTTCTTCTTACTCACCAACATCTCTTGAATGGCATCACTAGTTGTCTGAGCTCCATTCAATTCATCTGTTTTGGTCTTCAAAAATGAATAAATAGACTCGAAGACAACCGATAAAAGATTCTCTTCTGTTGAAACGGGTGTTGGGTCAAAAGAAATTTGAAAAGATTTTACTATATGGTTAATTTTACTTTTAACAAAACCTTCTAAAGCTTTGTAATTTTCAATTTGTTTATTCAAACTTTCGATTTTTAAATTATTATTTGAAACAACTTGGTTATATTTTTTGTTGAGTTCACTTGAAATGCGTTCAATATTGATTTCCAATTCCTTCCGCTGATGCTCTTTTATAACTGTCATTTCGGCTTCATGCTGGTTTTTAACAAATTTCATCAAATCCTCTTGCTCTCGTTGAAATCTCTCCCTATCTTTCATGCAGTCTTGTATCAAATTATTAGATTCATCGAGTTTTTTTCTCAAGGTTTCAACTTCTAGTTCAAGTTCAGTTTTACAACCATTGACTTTATCTTGGAGTTCGCTGTTTAGTTTATTCATTCTATCTTCGTACATATTTCTAATATTTGAAAGTTCATCTTGTTTTACATTAGTTAACTGTTCGATTTGGGACTTGTATTCAAGATGGATGTTTTGTAATTCAATTTGGTGCACTTCATTCGTTTCATTAAGTTTCGAATTTAATAGTTCAATATCATTCAATAAACTTTGATTAGTTACCTTCAACAAATCTTCTTGCTCTTGTTGAAATCTCTGCGTATCCCTTGCGCCGTTCTGTAACAAGTTGTTAGACTCATCAAGTTTTTCTTTTAAGGTTTTTACTTCTAATTCGTGTTCAATT